GGGAGAAGCAGGCAGGGAGAGAGGCATGGAGGACCCACTGGCATCACCCATCAGTGGCCACCGCCCTCGCCCATCACCCATCTGTCCGTGCATCCCTTCCTGCAGCGCTCCTGCAATGCACACATGTGCAAAGCCCTGGGAAGGAGGTGCCATCCCTGCCTTTAACACACTGGGTCTAGCAGTTGGAAAAAGATTTCCCTTTGATCTCATTGTGAAGCCAGTGAACCCAGGCTCAGCATCCCTCATCCCCTGGCTCCCCACTTTCTGCCCCAGGGTTCCACCTTTCTAGACTGACTTTTGAGGGATGCATGGCACCATCTGAGCGCCAGCACCTCCTGTGCTGTCTGACTCCGCAGCCTGACCCTCCCCCATTCCACCTGCCCGTTTCCCGGCCCATTCCCTCTGCCTTCCCATCCAGAGGCCATCCAGCAGCACCGCCGGAACCTGGCCGAGTGGTTCAGCCGGCTGCCCCGGGAAGAGCGCCAGTTCGGCCCGACCTTCGCACTAGACACGGTGCATGTGGACCCCGTGGTCCGTGAGAGTGCCCCCGATGAGCTGCTTCGCCCGCCTTCGGAGCTTCGTTCCCCTTCACAGACACCCCCGGCCATGCGCCCCCCCCTGGCCCTGTCTCAGCTCTTTGACCCGGACGCCTGTGGGTGCCAGGTGCAGACGGTGGTCCTGTATGGCACCGTGGGCACCGGCAAGAGCACACTGGTGCGCAAGATGGTGCTGGACTGGTGCTACGGGCGGCTGCCAGCCTTCGAGCTGCTCATTCCCTTCTCCTGTGAGGACCTGTCGTCCCTGGGCCTGGCCCGGGCCTCCTTGTGCCAGCTGGTGGCCCGGCGCTACACGGCCCTGAAGGAGGTTCTGCCCCTGATGGCCGCAGCGGGCTCTCGCCTGCTGTTTGTGCTCCATGGCTTGGAGCGGCTCAACCTGGACTTCCGGCTGGCAGGCACGGGGCTGTGCAGTGACCCCCAAGAGCCAGCGGCGCCGGCTGCCATCCTCGTCAATCTGCTGCGCAAATACATGCTGCCCGAGGTGGGTGCCCTCCTGCCTGCCTCTCCATCCCTGATTTGCCACCTACGAGTTTTTGTGTCTTAGGCCTGCATTGTTAAAATATATATTTTTATTGATTTCATAGAGGGAGAGAGAGAGAGAAACATCAGTGATGAGAGAATCATTGATCGGCTTCCTCCTGCACAGCCTACACTGGGGGCCAAGCCCACAACCCGGGCCTGTGCCCTGACCGGGAATCCAACCGTGACCTCCTGGTTCATAGGTCGATGCTCAACCCCTAAGCCACATCAGCCAGGCTAGGCTTGCATATTGATTGGGGGGAGAGGCCCTGGGCGAGTTCACATCCTGGCCCCACCACTTCCCAGCTGTGTGTCTTTGAACAAGTCACCAACTTGCCACGCTTCTTTCTGTTTTTTCTTCTTGAGTTGTGCTGATGGAAGCGGCACTAACTCCATACGCTGTGCGCACAGTGCGCGGACTCCTAGTAGGTGCACGGTCATGGTTAGTTATCCTCATTACAGTCGTCGTCATTACCACCCTGGGACACTCGGTCCTCAGGCGCTCCCGGGGTATAAGGGCTCTCTGACCCTCGCCTCTGCTCTTCCAGGCCAGCATCCTGGTGACCACCCGGCCCTCTGCCGTGGGCTGCATCCCCAGCAAGTACGTGGGCCGCTACGGCGAGATCTGCGGCTTCTCCGACACCAACCTGCAGAAGCTCTACTTCCAGCTGCGCCTCCACCGGACTGCGGG